ACCGTCTAGGAGTGCCACCATACTTGGTGCGAACCCTTAGGTCATGGCTTACCGGACAGCAGGTACACCTAGAGTTTGGCGCCGACGAAGCCTCGGTGGTCCTTCAACGGGGAGTGCCACAAGGGTCCGTCTTAGGACCCTTGTTGTACTCCATCTCGACGCTATCCTTAGCTTCACTCCTGCGACCGATTGAAGGCCTCATCAGCACCTTTTATGCTGATGATAAGACGCTGGTCTTGACTACCAAGGGAAAGAAGGACTTCCTGACGAAGTGGAACTGCATAGAGTTCTTTATCACGCTTTGGGGAAAGGCCTCTGGCCTGACCCTTTCGCCTAGTAAGTGTGCTTATATGTGTCGTTCCAAGCTACAGGTCCCAGCGCTCTTCATTGACGGAGGAGCCATCCCAAGGGAGAAGGTCGTGAAGATCCTCGGCCTATTCGTCGACCAGAGACTGACCTTTGCGGTTCACATCAGGAAAAAGTGTGCCGAGGCACGGAAACGGATTGGACTGCTGCAAGCGCTTGGTTGGGAACGAGCTGGCTTGGACCATCGTCGGATTATCCGCACATGGCACCAAGCAGTTCTACCTTTCCTTGCCCATGCGGCCTCCATTTGGGCTCCTGTCCTTTCGGGCTCACCTAATCTTAGTAAGATCGTAGATAATCTTTCTGGCTTTGTAGCCAGAGTCGCCATAAGAGCACCGAGGACGGCCTCTACAGCAGCAGTCACCATGATGGCAGGCATCGTGCCGGCCAGTATCATGGTGCAGACCCTAGGGGCTAGAAGATCGGCTGCCATAGGAGACAACGAGGCTTTGAGGAAGGCTCCTGGCATCGGTCTAGTTGAAGGAGGCTGGCTTGTCGAGAAGAGGACGCCCCATCCCCTTCCTCCTTGGATCCCTCCCCTCCCTACGACTATTCGTCCAAGGAAGGAGGCGCTGAAGGAGGCAGTGGAATATGAGGCCCCGGCCATCTTCACCGACGGCTCGAAGCATGGCGACGGCGCTGGCGGCGCTTTTATAGCGATTATTGATGGCTCTGCTGTTGAGAAACAGTCATT